GTCTCGATTTTTCGGTATGTTTGCATAGGGAAATTGGGTGAAATTCAAGCACACAACTTTTGTGTTCTTGCTGATAAATTCTCCATATTTTACGTTATTGTCTCTGGTCTCTTGTAAACATATCATTAATTCTTTTATATTCTTGTTTTTTACTCTGTTCTTTGCTTTTACCTTCTCTTGACGGTTTTGTTGTCTTTCTACTACTGCTGATAGTTAGTGACGGATCCATGAATTAATTAAGAATTATATTTAGATTTATGTTATTCTTAAATTACTAATCACCTTATTAGTTATCAAATATCTCATAGTGATTGACAAATAGCGATTGATACAGAGTTGTAGAAACTTGAATATGTTCAAATTTAATAAAATATAATAATAATAAAATATAATAATAATAAAAAAAATGATATTTGCATATAAAACTTCAAACTATAATTATGTCACCACCGTCAAACTTGTTGTTGTGACGGTGGCGACCGTAACGGAGGTGAAAAATTGCATTTTTAGCATATCTCTTCACGAAAACTTATATGAAATTACTCATTTTATTCATATTGTTAAAGGAAAACTTTGAATTGATTAAAATATGTTAGGTTCTAAATAAACCTGATAAAATTTAACCTGACGGTGTTGATGTTTTACTTCTATGACAAAGATTAAACTTTTAGTTAAAACTTTTTTTTATTATTATTTCAATAGCAAAAGTAAATAGCAACAATACAATGATTAGACATGGCCTGATGCCTATGGAATTGATTAAAACTAGTATGACAAGTTAGTACTGATGTTATAGAAAAAGTTTGACGGTGGTGGACGGACTTGTAACGTCCATAGGACGTTTTATAGACGTCCTGCTAAAGTCTGTGCCCGCTAGGTTGTATGTTCAAGATTTAGTGGAAATTGTGTTTCTCACAGCAGCGAATTTCATAATCATGCAGATTTCATTATTTAAGTTTTGAAAAGTACTAAAAAAGTCTTCTTTTTTTGATGCATAGGCTTTTGTTTGCGACGAATAATAACCTGGTTTTTATTGTTATTGCGGTAACTAACTGTTGCTATGCCATTAGTTATAAATCATTTACTTTGTTGATAAAAAAATCTTTTTTTTTATGTTTGCTGATTTATTTACTTCAAGTTACAATAAATAAACAAATAAAATAAACAAATATGCTGCGATACACATTTTAGTGTATAAAGTCTAACAACAGTAAATGTCAGACTACAACAGCATTTCAGAGTTTTGAATGTATTTAAATTTTTCGCATTCACAACATTTTTTAGTAAACATTGTGGTTCCATTTGCCTACTATTTTACTTATAAAAAAAATGGATCAACCGTTTGTTTTTTTGCTAGGTTGTCTACATATTCTTTTGTTTTGCCCTCTTGTAATTGAATTTTCTATAAATATAGGAGGATGTTACCAATTAATTACATCTAAGTTGTTCATATTGTTTGTATACACATTTGCAATTGAAATTAGTTAACCTCATTCGGAAGTGCAACACTACCTAGCTTATGATAACATGCAAATATAACACCATTGCATAAGAAAGGTGAAACAAAAAGGTGAAACAAAAAGGTGAAAAAAAAAGTACACCTATACATGTATACGTGTAATTTTTGAATACACATTTGCAATTGAAAATAGTTAATCTCATTCGAAAGTGCAACTATACCAAACTTATTGTTACATGCAAATACAACACTATTGTATACATTCTGATAAATATTTAAAGTGTGTGTGTGTCTGTATATATATATATGTAATTTTGATAATCGGCTGATCATCAGCGGTACGTAAACAAAACGTACAAAAGCGGACGTCACACCGATATTATTTTGACGTCTTTATTTAAGTACTGCTGATGAGCAGCCGCCCATCAAACATATTTAAAAATTGTATCTTTATTTGATCGGATGCGGACGTTGTGCTAACGTTACTTTGATGACTATGTTTACGTCCTGCCGATTAGCAAATTCCCATCAAAAATATGTAAAAATTACATCTTTATTTTATCGGATGTAAGCGTCGCGCCGATGTTATTTTGATATTTTTGTTTACGTCCTGCTGATGCAGGATGTAAACAAAAATATGTAAAATTATATTATTATCAATAATATGTAAAAATTACATTTTCTTGTATTTTTTATATATCTATTTTAGATGTCGCGCTAATGTCAGCCTGATGCCTATGTGTTGTCAGGAAAAAGTCGTTTCACGAAAAAGAAAGTTTTAGAGGATTGCGCCTTCGGTAGAACTCCCTAACAGAGTTAAAAAAATACTGAATGAAAAATACCAAATAGCAAGAGAAAACGATGGTTTAGTAGCTTTTATAAGTGAAATTAAACAAATCAGGCCAATCTCATTGACTTCTATCCCATGTAAAGTTTTGGAATCACTCATTAGAGATGAAATTATGGATTATCTAATAAATAACAGCTTATTAAATGAAAATCAGCATGGGTTCAGAAAAAATAAAAGCTGCACAACAAACCTATTGGAAATTCTTGATATCATAACAGATGCACTAGAAAATGGCCACTCAGTTGATATGTTGTATCTAGACTTTGAAAAGGCTTTTGATAAAGTACCACACTCGTGTTTGATCACTAAACTTCAATCATATGGTATTGTGAGAAATTATCTGGGATGGATAGAGAACTAACAGAAAACAGAGAGTGGTCCTTGGCGACACTGTCTCAGATTGGCTACCAGTTATTAGTGTACCACAGGGGTCAGTTTTAGGGCCACTGCTGTTTTTAAATTTTATTAACGATTTGCCAGATCAAGTCAAAAACCCTATTAAACTTTACGCTGATGATAGTAAAATAATATATATTATAAAAAATCCTAATGATTCAATAAGCCTTCAAAATGATATAAATAATATAATGGCATGGTCATCTATTTGGCTCACAAAATTTAATTATGAAAAATGCAAAGTTATGCATATTAAGAAAAAAAATCCAAATGCTACATTTATAATGACTGATATTGATTGCAATTACAGTTATACATTGTGTAACACAAAAGCTGAACGTGATTTGGGTAGAATGGTTCAATCCGATTTAAAATGGCACTCACAAGTTGATTCAGCAACCAGCAAAGCAAACAGAATGTTAGGTACCATAAAGAGAAGCTTTAAATATTTAGATGTAAACATGGTAAAAATGCTCTATACAACCTTCATACGTACACATCTTGAGTTTGCGGTCCAGGCAAGGTCTCCATTTTTAAAACAAGACATTGACAAGATTGAGAAAATCCAAAAAAGAGCAACCAAACTAGCACCTACAATTAGGAAATTATTATATGAGGCTAGGTTGAATATTATGCAATTAACGTCACTGGAAGAACGTAGACTACGTGGAGATCTGATTCAAAAATATAAAATTCAGCATGGCCACGATAAAATAAATTGGGTTGCTAATGATTGTGGAAATGCATTGGAGGAGGGCCCATGTCTGCGACAAAACAAATTCAAAATGAGGAAGCCTTTTAGCAGAAATACCTTCAGGTATCATTTTTTCCAAAATCGAGTTGTAAATGCGTGGAACAGCTTACCATCTGAAATAATAGAAGCTACTTCAATAAATAACTTCAATAACAAACTAGACAGAGCTGGATTTTGCAGAAACTATTTGTTAAAACACAAACAAAAGACAAAATGAGCTGTTACAGTGCAATATCTTATGTTATTGTACTTCGCAACTGTTTAAAACAGTTGTTACAGTTATACCTTATTATTATTAAATCTGGTGCTATAGAAATAAAACTAAAAAAATAGAATTAGTTTTATCGTTTTTTTAATTGAAATGCACAAATTCATTTTTATAAGGTTCAATTCTTTTTTGTTTCACATTTTTACAATATTCTTTTGTTTTTGGATTATTTTTTTTTCTTCGATATTTTATGCTTTTTAATAATGGAACGGTGGTCCAAAATTAGAAAAATAATAATACAAAAAAACTACTGTACTCATTAATTATATCTCTGCAAGACATTGGCTGAAGAAATAAACTACAATACTGTGTTAGTAACTAAAAATTTAACGTTGTGCCAACGTCGATATTTTGTTGTTGGTGACGTCGCGTTTGTAAACAAAATGTAATTAAAACAACGTTTTTATTACATTTTTTTTTTTTTTTTTACATTTTGTGACAACTTTTAACGTTTTACCAACGTATGTGTGCTAGCTGGGAATTCTTTGATTTTTGATAAAATCCTAAATCTTCTTTGCAAAAATTTTAACCGAAGCAACTTGTTTTTAAATTTCAATCGAAGCAACTAGTTTGTAAACTGATAGTTCAACTTATTGAGGTTTAACAACAATAGTTTTTTTTTAAAATGTAAAGTTTTGACACAAAATTTTATAACGAAAATATGATAGTTCCCCTAAGAGCATTTATAATTTTGGTAAAACCACTAAACACATCTTTTTTTTTTCTCAGATAGTATTACTCTCAATTTAGCAAGCGACGTATCTAAACTAACATTTGTTATTTTAGTTATCTCGTTTTCTTTATATCAAATACTCAGAAAGGAAAAACGTATTATGCTTAACGGTTTTATAAAAGTTTATTAAAAATTCTTATAATCAACATTTTTATTATCGTTATTATCCTCCTCCTTCTTATTATTATCGTCATCATCTGAACATCAAACAAACCAAGTTATTTTTGAAGGGGAGACATTTTAACTTATTTTGGATGATTCAACATGAAATTGCTAAGATGGAAAATGCTGCAAACTTTTTTAATATTCGCTACAAATTTTAAATAATAAATTTCTACGAGCTAGTATTAAAAGCTTATAACTCTTATTACAACTCTTCAAATTTTGTGAGAAAACTCTTATTAGTTAGTATAGTATTAATACTATATACTTAATATTAATATTTATAATATATGCAATATATAAATATATTTATATTGAGTCTCCTAGCTGTTATAAGATCAATGCCGAGGGTGCGATAAAAACAATAGTAACCAGTCTTCTGTTAAGTTATGCGCAACATTATGATCTTCTGACCGTAAACGTATTCTTAGGCCACATTCGATTTGTTTTCAAAAATCACGTATTAGGCGGTATCGAAATATATTTATCTTGGTGCTTTGGTGTTGGTATTCTGGGTTTCTAAGCAAATGACAAGTGAGTTAAATTTACATTTTTTAATCCATATTGTTTTCTAAAAATAGAAGTATTTTTTTTTAAACGATACTAATATTTAGAAAAAAAAACAAAACAAATAGAAAAAGATTTTCAATATGGTAACAAAATCTTAATCATTACGTATTTCATGATTCGTACTATTTTATTGAATTTGAGTTTGTATAAAGTTTAAAAAACTTGCATTATGGCTTATTATAAAAACTCAAATTAAATTGTAGGTATTGATTAAGTAAAGTAAATCTCAAATATTATTTGGTTTTAAAATTACCTTTCTAACTTAATCAAAATTTTAGTTAAACTTAATTTTTAGCTGAACATAATTTTACTTATTTTATTTACCAAATTTACAAATCAAACACCTAATATGTAATTTTAGGTGTTTAATATGATACAATAATGTAAACTAATATGTAATCGTATTTACAATTTAAATAAATGTACTCATTTTCAACATTTTTATTTCTGACTTAGTTGCCCAATTATGTAATTTTATAATGTCAAATTGATAAATATAAAGTCATAAAAGCAGTTTGCTTAAAAATATGTTGGGGAAAAATAGGGCGATTTCCAATTATATAAATCTCTTTTACTGTTTTATCTGAACATTTAAAACCTTAAAAAAAAATTTATGGCTGATCATTATTTTTATTAATCTGAAAATAAAAATAAAAAATTTCTTAAGTTTATAACATTTATTCTGTAAATTTTTTAATTTTTTTTTTTTTGTTAATTCACCTCCTCAAGGCTGAGAAAACCACTACAGACGAGGAGGCTACTTATTTGTGGTTATAACCCTCTCTCAACTCTATAACTCCGAAACACGAACATTGACGAACAAGGCCACTGCACAGAGAAATGAGTTGATAAACTTTTTTCTACTACAGACAAAATAGTATAATGATTTAACTTTCAACTTTTTATTAAATAACGGTTATTTATTATTTATTTATATATTATTTTATTATGTTATTTATATATTATTTAGATAAAATCAGAAAAATAGAAGATAATAAAAATAACGATTTCCAATTGTTTTGTATTTGACAAATTCACTGATAGAATTAAGTTTTTCAGAAAGGAAATTCTCATTTAAAAATTGCTTCACAAAAAGGACATTAACAAGTTAGTCACCTATTTGAAAAAAATAAATCAACTAAAATGAAAAAATGAATCAATTTATTCTGGAAAAATCATTTAATTTTTTTGCTTTTTTTTTTTTAGCAATTAATTATAAAAAAATAAAATATATAGAAAGCAAAATAAAAAGCCTTCTAATTTATTTATATTCTAATCTTCTATTGAAGATTAGAATATAAATAAATTAATAGCTAAATAACAATATTTATTCTTATTTTTATAACTATATAATAGTTATATTTATATCTAATATCAATGGTGTACACTGGATTTCTAGATGTTTGAGTTTTGACACTTACATGCATTGTGCAAACTCCAAAATTTTGTATGTTCATGCTTATGTCAAATGAAAATGTTTTGCAAAGAGTTGTGGTGATTGGAAAAAAACCCTAATTTTTGGGCCTACCCAGCCCTTAACGAGGGAGCAAAAGTTCATAAAATAATTTCTTTAGTATTTTTATCTAAGTTTATATTCATCAACAAATTTCAAATTTCATGCAATAATCTCTTAGTGTTTAGTTTTTATGACCCTAAAAATATTTACTGCCCTCTTAAATTGAGAGGGGTTAAAATTTTATAAGGTCATAATTTTCGAAAAATAAGAGATTATTGCATGAAATTTGAAATTTGTTGATGAATATAAACTTAGATAAAAATACTAAAGAAATTATTTTATCAACTTGTTGCTCCCGCAACAATATATTAAAATGTAGAATATTTTCACAAATGTGATGTAGCTATTGATCTATCAGTTTTCAAAATGATTTTGAGTTGAAGTTTTTAGTTTCAAAAATATTAATAAATGTAAAAATTAAAGTTAGACTCCTTTAAGTTTAAAAATATATCTATTTTTGCTCTAATATACTTACCCCTTAAAATTTTTTTTGTGAATGGATAATATGAAATTTTAATGTTAAAAAAAAAAAAGGAAGTATGAAGTACCAACAATTATTTACAACAAAAATGTTCTTTGGGCTGCATGTTACATGTAATGCATAGTTACATGTGATGCATGGTTACATGTGATGCATGGTTACATGTATGCCTTGTTACATGTATGCATGGCCACATGTATTCATGGTTACATGTATGTATGTTAAATATATGATATGTATTTAGAATATAATCAGATATAATTAATGTCACAGAAATAAATAATGGATAACTATATTTTAAGGAGGTAATCAAAGAGATCTTGCTCGTGCTAAAAATTTAAAGAAACAACAAGAACTTCAAAAGGCTCAGGCAATGAAAGATTATCCGAAAAGAAAGGAAAGGTATTTTAAGAGTATTTTTTGTATTTTATAGTTTTAAAGATTTTTATTTTTACTCTTAAGAATAATAATGATAAAGGATAATGATGATGATGATGATGATGATGATGATGATGATGATGATGATGATGATGATGATGATGATGATGATGATGATGATGATGATGATGATGATGATTATTAATGATGATTATTAATGATGATTATTAATGATAATTCAAATAAAATAAAAATTAACAATGTGTTTATGTTGTAAAGGCATTTTTCTAATGTAACAATTTTTTCCTCTATTATGACTAAACCTAAAATATTGATAGGTTATGATTTAAAGATCTAGGTATGATTTGCAAAACCTTATTTTTGATGGAGATACTAAAGAATTTCAATAATGTGGAGCAAAAAATCCAGGTTTCAAAATGATAAAGTTTAAAAGATACTCGAAAATCAAGATTTTGACTTTGACTCAAATAAAGCAGTTTATGCTGAACTTTTTAAATAAAAGATCGACAACCTACAATAATAGATCTTGTAGTAAAAATATTCTATCATTTAAATATGAAAAACATTTTGTTCAATTATTAGATGGTTTTTGTAGAGCAAATACTATTGTAGCAACAGACCCAGCAGCTTGTTAATAAATAAAAGTGTTTGTTTGTATTTATATAATTTCTGTAAAAAAAAAATTGATGCTGTGAGAAGTTTTCAGCAGGTATCTCTTCATATGATAAGGTTAAAACATTTATTTTTTAATAATGATGTATCCTCATCTGGTAATGTAAAATTTATCTTCAGTATAATGGTTGTGAATATTTATCAAAAGGATTCAAAAACATTTATGAACATATGCTGTAAATACTGCAACATATATAAGACATGAATCCTGTTTGCAACGTATTGAAAGTATCTCATAAAGTTTAGTAACTGGCTCAAGACCAAACATCAGGGGCTATTCTAGATTGTTTTTGACATCCTTAAAGGCTTAGACAGCTCCAATATACTTAAAAGATCACATAGTTAATAGGTAATAATGAAATGGTAACTGAAATGTATAGATTATTACTTTATGAATATTCCTAATAATAATGCACATATATTCACAATATAATACAATATTCCACAATAATAATGCATATATATTCACAATATAATACAATATTCCACAATAATAATGCATAAATATTCACAATGTAATACAATATTTCACAATAATGCTATTAATAGAGATGACTTTTAAAAAAATGAAAAAATGTTTAAAAGAAATCAAATCATTAACAAATGTTACTTTTATTGTGACCGAAATCCCATTAAATAAAATAGGAGCTCGGGAAAGATAGGATTATAAAAGTAACAATGATAAAAGTTAAAAATGCTGACAACTATGTTACAAAGCCAGATATGTTACAAAGGAAATTGCAAACAAATTAAAGGAATTATTTAGAAATTTTTTTATGTACAGCTAGGAAGCTACTTTTTACCCAATACAACCTTATTTTATACCAAATAAATGTTAAAAGAGATTATCATCATGCCCCAATTAAACAATTTATTTATTTTTAATTTGTTCATAAAACCCTTGTTTGTATAAAAATCCACAATAACAAACAATAACAAACATTTAGTAAATTAAATGCTTTAAAACAAAGTAGTAGAACTTTGTAAAATTGATTGAAGTTAAAATTAAAAAAAACAAACAGAAAACAAAAATTTTTTTAGCAATTGCAAACGTTTAACTCAATGTGAGGAGTTTCTTTATTTTTACATAATTACCTTGATTAAATGATTCAAAACTACACCGACAAATAGTTAAAAGTCTTTTTTATGTAAAGGCATGTACTAGACTAGATATGTTGTTTCTTTATTAAATATGTACTATATATAAGCTGTTATTCAATTATCTCAGCATTTAACCAAATAATGATGGTTTCGATGTGCAGTTTTTAGCCAGCAGAATTCAGTGAAATTTAACTAAGGTATATGGCAGCTATGTAATGTTTTCACAGATAACGAGTCTTGAAAAATTTTGAAGCTTATTGACCAATACTAATCAAATTTGTTATGGGTTAGTGCTGGAGAATCCCAGAAAACAAATTATCAGAAAAAGCAAATTTGAGCTTGCCCAGTTATTGTCATGTTTAAAGTGAATGGCTCCCTTTTGGTCTAATATCTTGATAATTGAAGACTTCCTCAAGCTTGTTGTTTGTGCCATTATATAGAAAAAAACAATTGCATGATACCAAAAACATTAAACCTTGCATAACTATAATTAGTTTTTATATATATTTAAATTCCTTTGTCTTTAATTTTGTTATGAGCATTTAATTTGTAAGAAAATTTTGAATAAGATTTAAATAAGATATAAAAGGAATTTATATCTTATTTAACGATTTCTTTTATTTAAAATATTTGTTCACCGATAAATTCCTTTGAACTGTTGTGATTAGGGGTTGTTTTTTAATAATTAAATTGACTAATAATTAAATTAACTTTTTTTTCTAGTTTTTGATGATTTACAAAATGAATTAAAGTATTTAAGTCTAAATCATAATCTTTAATAATAATAAAAATAATAGTAATAATAATAATTAATATGTATAATAATTAGTATAATAGTAATAATATGTAGTAATGGTTTTACAATAAGATTTTATATCAACTCGTTTCTCCGCGCAGCGGCCTTGCTCGTCAAGGTTCGTGTTTCGGAGTTATAGAGTTGAGAGAGGGTTATAACCTTAAATAAGTAGCCTCCTCGTCTGTAGTGGCCTTCTCGGCCTTGAGGAGGTGAAATAAAATAAAAAAAAAAAAAAAAAAAATATCATAATTAAAGATGAACATAAATAATAGTAATAATATGGTTTTACAATAAGATTTTATATCATAATTAAAAATGAACATAAATATTTTTTGAATATTTATGAATATATTTTTATAGTTTATTGAGTTAAGTGAGTTTAAAATGCTAAAAATTTACATAATAAATAAGAATGTTTTCAAAAGCCTCAAAATTTTGCCCTACCGTATACCCCCACCCCATCCCCCTATCATCCTCCCTCAAATGTTCAAATGACCATATGACCATACAAAGTTTAATTATAACAATATAAAGTTTGAACCCCAAATTTGAAGGGTTATAGAAAATCAATCTCAAAGAACAAAAAATGCTGAATCTGCCCCTGTCATATATTATCAATTTACTTATTTGTTGTAAAATCAGGTTTAATTTCTCTGTTCTTTTATGTGTTTTTGCTAATCACCTCTTCACTCAGTCATCTTTTTTTCTTTATTATTTCTCCTTCGTTTCATGCAAGAAGCAGTGTTATTTGTGATGTTCTTTTTAATTTAACCAACCCCTTTCTCTTTATCCCCCAGCCAATGTTGGTATTGGTGACTTTAATACTCATCACACTCAACATTTGGCCCTATCACTGACCCTGATGACTATAAAGCTTAAATTTTTTGACTTGGTCAATTTCTTACTTAGATAGTTAACTTTATGACTTGTTTTCCCTAATCACTTACTTTCACTCCTTGATTTGTATTTTGTATACTTCTACATCACTCTATTATTACTGCTACTATAAGGCTAACTAGATTTCTTTTTCCAATTTTCTTTGTGGTAGTTTGGATTGATATTTCAAGTCTTGTCTGTTTCAAATCATGCCTCACTGCCCATGTTTCATCGCCTCGCTGCCCATGAAATTTTGTGCTGCTGCTATTTCTAATCATTTTCTTCATTTTTTACACAAGAACAACTCTTTGAAGAATACATGTTTTATTATCATTGGAAGAAATTGATGCAAAAAAAGTTTTGACTGATGCCAAATTTCGCTATTCATTTATTATTAAATATAAATTAAATCTAGCGTTTTATCTCAAAAATTACGTTTTGGAGTAATCATTGTCATAACTAAAAACAAGTCTAACATACATGAGTCTGATCTTATTACCTCTATTAAGGATAAGGCAGACTATTTAAGGCTATTTAGTATGAACTTTTTAATTCATGTCTTGATTGTAATGGCCACACTCTTCCTGTCATCCTAAAGAAATAATTGTTTATTATTCACTGTTATACATACAAATTTTACAAAAGTTTTCTCCAGAACATTACTTCATTACTCTACTGAAAAATGTATACGTAATTTCAATTATATAATTCCAATTATTAAAAACTCTAGTGAGTATAATTAAATATTGTATTAAATAGAAGCAGTGAGGTCAAGGCTATTGATGTTGACGTATCAAAGGCTGGTCTCTTTATAACCTCACTTCATATGGTGTATCTGGGAAAGTTTTAATCATGGAATCAGCCTTTTCTAACTCTGCTTCATTTCAAGTAACTTTTAAATACCCCTAAGTACTCATCACGTTCAACTGGAGTTATTTCGTTTGAGTTGTTTTATTTTGACATAAAGTCGGGTGAATAAAAATTAGCAATTGCTCTTACTCAGTAATTGGTCAGCCTTACGTGAATAAAAACTTCATCAATTTTGCTTAAGTTTTTATTCACGTAAGGTTGAGGAATTACTGAGTAAAAGCTCACTTTTATTCACCCAGTTTATAGATGGTTATTCATTTGTATAATAAATGACTTTTATTAGAATTTCTTTTAAAATTTTTACTTTTTGATGTAAAATTTAAAATTAATTGTTTTTGTTTATTTTATAGAGATTCAGATATTATGCGTCAAAAGCAAAAGATGGCCGAGGAAAAAAAGATGGCTGAAGCTGGAGGGGGTGACCAAAAAAGCAAGTAGAGTTTAAAGTTTGAATCTGCAAGATATGTTGATATAAGCGAATTAATTAAAGAAGTTTTTCTTTTCAAAAGAAATGGCGTATTGTTATAAATTTTTAGTAAATTTATGTTAAATATTTGTATTTACTTAATAAGATTGGAGTAAGCAAGTCTTTTTTAAAAAGAAAGTTGTGATGACAATGAGTTTTACCTAATATTTTCAACTTATGTGATATCTACGATACATGCACCAGTATTATTGACCAAAATAAAATTACAAAATAAAACATTTTCGATGAAAAAATTGTTTATCTGTGCTTCGACATTTTTTACGGTCTGCAGCATCTCAAATTGTTTGTTTATTTATAACTTGCTGCTTCTATTTATATTGAGTTGTAGTTTTTTAAATAAAATTTTAAGTGTTCCTTCTAATTATTACGGCTGTTTTTATATTTATCAATTTATCCATTGAAATGAAAGTTGAATAATTTTAATTTTTTTGTAACAGGTTTTTAAGGATCGTCTTTAGTTTCAAATCTAGAAAAATTTCTTTTTTTAACAAAAAATTGTGTAGCTAAATGTAAACTCTTTGTTCGTGTATTTACACTTCACTGCGGCTATTCCAATTTATATCAGTTGATTAATGTAGACTCCGTTGCGCTTTCGACTATCAGTCGATGATGTGGCCGTAGATTGCGGGTACGGCTATATATCAATGAAAAAATAATTTAAAAAAAGTTGATAATAATATAGTTATAAAATAATAATAGTTAATAGGCATAAAAGTTACACTTTAAAATAAAACATAAAATACTTCAAGAATAAAAACAATCTGCACAACGATTCGAACCGGCAACCTTGTTTCCGCACATCAAGCAAAATCCACGACACTACACAAACTCTTTGATTTGGTTATCTTAAATTTATACACAGTTATATCCAAGTCGTATATTTTGAAACTACCCAGTAATCACAAAACGTGTTAAACACATGAAAAATACATTATAAAATGTATCAATATATTTTCCAGACGTTAAACAATTCTTGTATACAGCTCAGAATAAGCATAGTTATGTGCATTTTGGTTGGTTGATTTTATAAGATAGGCATGTGCGCATTTTTTTTTTTTTTTCTCTTTAGGTAAATCATACAATAGTGATCAAAACTTTAGACTCTTTTGATTTTAAAAAAATGCCTTCAATTTTATTATTGGGTAATTCCATGTAAAAGTGGGATAAAAAATTGAAATTTTTCAGTCACCCTCTCAGATTTCTTTCAAATTTGAACCAGTGGTACCTATCAATATAACAAAAAAAAATGTAAAGTTTGAGCTTCCAAATCCAAACCGTTCAAAAGTTATGACATTTTGAAATTCAGCCTAAAACGTCCTATTTTTTTCCACTTCCGCCATTATGAACTTTGTAGTAGTACTTTTAATTGAATAATTTAAGATCTAGTGTAAAAATGTGGCTGAAAATCAGTACCTGACCATTTTTGAGGGTGCTGAATTCAAAAATGTAGATAAAATAGTGAAATTTAAATTTTTTGATAGTTATTTTTTCATTTTAAAATGGCCAGTCAAATTTTTTGTTTTGTAACCATGGGTTGCGCTTTCATTAATTCCCGAAGTTGCCCAAGTCTCATGGATTCGATTTTTTTTTTCAAATGAAGTAGGTGATCCTAGGCTATCTTTATAAAAAAAATGGTTTTGGGTTCTTAAAGCATAGAAAAGATATTTCATTTTGAAATTTAGACAAAAAATTTCTTTATTTGGCATCTATTCTCTATTATAGATTTTATAGCGATACTTATTGTGTGAATAATTTAAGATCTAGTAGAGAAGTATGACTGCAAATTGGTATCTGACCATTTTTAAAGGTGTTGAATACAAAGACGAAGAGAAATTAACCCAATTCCTAATATTTTAAAATAATATTTGAATTTTAAAATGGTATAATATTACCTAACCAAAAAACGGGGTAACATTTTCACAAATTGCCTGACTCTCATGGGTTCAATTGTGGTGTGTAAAAACAGTTTATTAAGGTTGATTTTGATATAGAAATAAAATTTTGTGAAGTGAATTATCATGAAAAATATAGTTTTGCAACACCTGCTGTGATGTGTAAATATAGTTTTGGGACGTCAGTTATGTGTCTAAATATAGTTTTAAAACAACAGTTAATAATAACAAATTTCAATAAAAAAAATTATTTTAGTTTTAGATTAAATAATTATTAAATCTTGTTTGGTAATTCAGTTTCTTAGTCATGGCAAACAGTCAAAAGTGCTCTATTGGAATCAACCTAGAAAGTGAATGTCATCTTACAACATATACATCGTTGCTGGGAATCAAACCTTTTGAAGATATTATTGAATATGAAAGAGAAATATTAATGTGGAGGACTGGGCTCTCAATAATAAATATCAAACCAACAACTTGTCTCCATCATAAACATGTTTATTTGAAGCGTTATACAAATAAATTAACACGGTGCTGCAATCCATTTAATACTCATAACAAAACTATAAAAGGTATTTATAGTAATCATGAATTTATAGTAAAACTTTTAGTTTTGTAGAAACGTTTTGAATTACAATAATAAAATTCTTGGCAGCAAAATTCTATTTTAGCTATATTTAACCTTTTAGCTGACTTCTGAAAGTGCACAATTAAATGCCATACAACTTTAAACTTTTGAAGGTTTTATTAAAAAATTTTATACATATTAAAAGAGTTCTTCCCTTTTTTTAGGTAGTCTTCGTGAAATCAACTTGGATACAGCAAAATACCTATGCAGTAAAGGCAAATTCGTAGTTCCAGGTGAAAAACTTTGTACACAATGCAGGCATAAATTAGCAAGTGAAGAATCAGAAGAGAACGAGTTGGAGATGAAATTACCTGAAGATAATATGGAAAAAGATCTTATACTGGAATCAACAAGATCGTTGCTCAACAGTACTTCATGCGAACTTGAAGTGTCTCCTTTAAAAGTTCATTTACCCAAAACCTCTAACAAGCCTTAACTTGGAAAGAGAAAGATAAAGCAAGTTGAAGAAGCAGTTATTAAGAAGCTTGCAACTGCTCTGGATATAACCGAATCCGATCTTGTTGCACCAAAAAATGAAGTTCTAAAGGAAATTCAAACCAAAGCTGGCAATCTAGACTTCCTTGTAAAATGCATGAAAGAAAAACTTAAGGTTTCTAACAGGAGACAGCAACTTCAAATTTTGACATTAACCCCAAAATCTTGGTCTATCAGAAAAGCAGCAAAAGAGTTTTCAGTTTCTAAACACAAAATTCAAAATGCAAAGTTTTTACGCGACCAAAAAGGCATCATAGCATACCCTGATGTGGTTGAACGGCATCGAATCGGTAAAGATGTTATAGAACTTGTAAAGCTTTTTTACTGTGACGATGAGTATTCAAGGCAAATGCCAGGTAAAAAAGACTGTGTAAGTGTTGGGGGAAAAAAATACATGTCAAAAAAATTGATTTTGTGTAACTTAAAGGAGCTCTATGTGGCATATAAGACAAAGTACCCAGGCCATAAAATTGGATTTTCTAAATTTTGCAGTCTTCGACCTAAATGGTGCATCCTTGCTGGTCCAAAAGGTACACATTCTGTTTGTGTGTGTACAATACACCAAAATGTTAAATTAATGTTGAGTGCTATAGGCCTTTAACCATCTTACCATGAAATTATTGAAAAAATTGTCTGCAGCAGAAAATCTAAAGTTTGCATGATTCACCGATGCAATAGTTGTCCTGGCATACAACATGCCCAAAATTTCTTCCAGCAGTATCTCGCACAAAATGATGATCCAAAAGAGCAATATGACAGTGATGAAAATGAACAGTCAGTGGATTTCAAACAGTGGACAACGACAGATAGAACTGAATTATTAACAATAAAACTTCCATTAAATGAATTCATAGAGCTTCTGTGTGAAAAACTTGATAATATCACTTCTCATTCATTTATAGCAAAATCACAATCTAGCTATTTAAAGCATCTCAAAGAAACAATTAGTATTGATGAGGCTATTGTACTGGCAGATTTTGCAGAGAATTACACGTTTGTAGTACAAGACGAGATTCAGAGTTACCATTGGAGCAAGAGTCAATGTTCCCTTCATCCAGTTGTCATCTACTACAATAAAGTGAAATTGGAAATATCTTCTTTATGTGTAATTTCAGATGATTTAAATCATGATGTTGGATTTATCAATGAGGTTATGCATAAAACCATTAATCATATTAAAACTCATCTTTGCCCCACAATTAAAAAAATTCATTATTTTTCTGATGGCTGTGCAGGGCAGTATAAAAACTGCAAACATTTTTACAATTTATGTCACCACGCTTAAGATTTTTCTGTTTGTTGCATCTGGAATTTCTTTGCAACAAGCCATGGTAAATCTCCATGTGATGGAATAGGTGGCACTGTTAAAAGGCTTGTTGCAACAGCTAGCTTGCAGAGTCCAACCACAGGTCATATACTGTCTTCTCAAGCAATGTTTGAATACTGTAAAAAGTCAATCAGTGGGATTACGTTTGTGTATGTCTCTGCTGAAGAAATGGAGCTAGTAAGAAACAAACTTACAGATAGACTTTTAATAGCAACCACTATTCCTGGGACAAGAAGTTTCCATCAATTTATACCATCTTCTCATTCAATTATAAAAATGAAAAGGGTATCCGATGATGATCATTTTTCTCTAACATTTGACTTCCTCAAAAAACAAAAATATGAAATTATTAAAATTGACAATGTTTTGATGTTTTCACCTAAACTAAAATGCAAACTTTTTTGAAAAATATTACAAACCTGCTTTATTGAAAAAAGCTCAAAAATAAAAATGAAAAGGAAAAACCAAATATTACTAAAATTTAAGTTCATATCATTTAAATAATGAAAGTAAAATATTAAATAACTTTCACTGAAAAGATAAAACTTGTTCAAATAAATTTTCATCTTCTTTTGAGATTTGGTACTGACGCCCAGAAGATGTTGAAGGTGTTTTAACAAGACAAATAACATTCATTCTTGGCACCCAGCAATTATCATCCCGATTTGGCCAGTGGTATGACCGATTTGGGTAATGTGGATGCATAAATTTGTAATGCAACAATATCTATTTTGCAAATATGACGATTTTTACTGGCTTGGTATGGTTTATGAAGTTGATAAAGAGAATGATGATTTTATGGTAAAATTTATGCATCCACATTACCCAAATCGGTCATACCACTGGCCAAATCGGGATGATAATTGCTGGGTGCCAAGAATGAATGTTATTTGTCTTGTTAAAACACCTTCAACATCTTCTGGGCGTCAGTACCAAATCTCAAAAGAAGATGAAAATTTATTTGAACAAGTTTTATCTTTTCAGTGAAAGTTATTTAATATTTTACTTTCATTATTTAAATGATATGAACTTAAATTTTAGTAATATTTGGTTATTCCTTTTCATTTTTATTTTTGAGCTTTTTTCAATAAAGCAGGTTTGTAATATTTTTCAAAAAAGTTTGCATTTTAGTTTCCTATTTTTTAACAAAACATTTGAGCTTGTAACCTTAAATTTGATTCATGCAACCAAGATTTTGAAATAATATCTAACTATTAGAATAATAATAAAAAAAAATTGTTCAATGTGTTGTATAGTAAATTATATTTCTATGTATACTTTTGAAAAAATAGATAAATATGCAAGTTATGCAAAGTAATATAATTTTTTATTTACTTTCACCTAAACTTTTATAAAACCTCTTCACAATGAGAGTAAGATCTCTTATTTCACAATGAGAGTAAGATCTCTTATTTCACAATGAGAGTAAGGCAACTCCAGAAATCAGTGAAATGCAAACTATGGTTAAAAGAAAAAAAAAGGACTGTTGACATAATAAAATTCAAAAATTATTTTTAAATATTAAGAATTGGGTTAATTTTAAAAATGGTCAGATACCAATTTGCAGTCATATTTCTCTAGTAGATCTTAAATTATTCACACAATAAGTATCGCTATAAAATCTATAATAGAGAATAGATGCCAAATAAAGAAATTTTTTGTCTAAATTTCAAAATGAAATATCTTTTCTATGCTTTAAGAACCCAAAACCATTTTTTTTATAAAGATAGCCTAGGATCACCTACTTCATTTGAAAAAAAAAATCGAATCCATGAGACTTGGGCAACTTCGGGAATTAATGAAAGCGCAACCCATGGTTACAAAACAAAAAATTTGACTGGCCATTTTAAAATGAAAAAATAACTATCAAAAAATTTAAATTTCACTATTTTATCTACATTTTTGAATTCAGCACCCTCAAAAATGGTCAGGTACTGATTTTCAGCCACATTCTTCCACTAGATCTTAAATTATTCAATTAAAAGTACAACTACAAAATCCATAATGGCGGACTTCCTAAAAAAAGGAACGTTTTAGGCTAAATTTCAATGTTCCCTTCATCCAGTTGTCATCTACTACAATAAAGTGAAATTGGAAATATCTTCTTTATGTGTAATTTCAGATGATTTAAATCATGATGTTGGATTTATCAATGAGGTTATGCATAAAACCATTAATCATATTAAAACATCATAACTTTTGAACCGTTTGGATTTGGGAGCTCAAATTTTGCATTTTTTCATGTTTCCTTAATAGTTAGCACTGGTAAAAATTTTAAGAAAATCCAAGGGGTGACTGAAATGACTGTCCCAGTTTTACATGGAATGACCCTATTTTTATTTTATTTTTGATACGGTTTATTATTTATGAAACTCTCTTTAATATATATAATAATAATAATCTGTTAAATATTATATAATAATAATAGTGCTGTACACTTAAAGAGTGGCTAGTCCAAACTACGTAGAGTTTGTAACTGTAACACGCAAACATAATAAAAGTTAGTATTTAAAATCTTCATCCAATTTGTTTTTGAACTGGTTGATACTGACTGGGTCTATTGTTTTTTGTTTAAGATTGTTCCGGTCATTAACTACTCTATTGGTGAAAAAATTATGTCGTTTTATATTTCCTGTATATTGCTTTCTCAGTTTACTATTGTGACCTCTAGTTTTATATCCGTTATATAGCATTTCGGGTTTTGTGTAAAAATTTATATCGAACCCTTTCATATATTTGAACATTTGTATCAAATCATCCCTTCTTCTTCTGTTCTCCAATGATAGTAAATCTAACTTTTTTAATCTCTCTTCATAACTTTATCCCTTTGAACTTTTAATTCTAGAAGCTCTTTGTTGGACACACTCGAGTTTATCTTAATCATACTGACGATAAGGATTCCAGATGGGAGCTGTGTATTCGTACTAAGGCTATAAATAAGAGTTTCATCATTTTTTCATCTAAATATTTAAAAGTGTGTTTGATCTGACCTAGCTTTTGATTTGCTTTATTTACTGCTTTATTTACATGGTGTTTCCATTCCAAATCGTCTGAAATGTACACTCCTAAATCCTTTTCCATGCTTGCGTAGGCTAAAGCTGTATTATTCATTAAAACTATATGCTGGCTATTTCCTATTATCATATCCTTACATTTTTGCTGGTTGAATTTCATCAACCACTCATTCGACCATTCCATTAATAAGTCTGTATCTTGTTGAAGTTCAAAAAAAATAGTATCATTATCGTTTTTTTATTGCTCTAAGGATTTTTATGTCGTTAGCAAATAGTTTACAGCTATTTTGTTGGAAATATCATTAAAATACACTACAAATAATAGTGGTCCTAGCACTGATTTTTTTGGTACTCCACTCACGACCTCTTTTCTGATTTTTTTTGGTACTCCACTCACGACCCCATTCTGATTTATTATTTCTACTTTTTAAAGTCTGTTCTTTAAAAATCCCTGGTACTAGTTTTGATTTAAAACCAAGAGCATTCAATTTTATCAATAATCTTTCGTAATCAACTGAATCAAATGCTTTGGCTAAGTCCAGAAACAAAACTATTACATTCAAACCATTATCAATTGAACTTCTTATAAAATCTAGAGAATTCAATAAGTTCGTCACACAACTTTTATTATTAACAAATCCATGTTGGTTTTTATTTATTAATTTATTTTTTACTTAATATTTCATCATTTTATCTTTAATTATTTTTTCCATGACTTTACAAACTATAGATGTTAAAGATACAGGTCTATAGTTGCATGGGTTTAACTTGTCTTTTTTTTTTTTTTTTTTTTTATTATAAAATAGTATTTATTCACATAATTTTATAAGTTTACATTATCTCAACGTTTATAAAATTAAAGTTACAATATATCTTTTTTTTTTTTTTTTTTTAATGCAATTATGACCATATAAATTTTCAAGATAAAATAACTTTCACAATGGTTACAGTAATAGAGGTGTTACAATAATACTAAGATATAAGGTGTTACAATAGTTTCCATGGTTATACATATATATACTTTTTAATTTTTATTTT